TTAATATTAGTACACGATAGACTTGTTAACTCAGACGAAAAATTTGGACGATAGAGACAGTAGCAATATTTATGTACAAGCTGAAACACACTGTTTGTTTTGATTTACTTTGCAATGTTGCTGCATATCTTTATCTCTCGCATACGAGAGCGTCATGAGAGATGTAAGGATTTTCTTTCGTTCATTTATTTACCTCTTTCGTATGTTGCTGAAAAATTCGATCTACTTCTTCAAACTTCTTTTGTTAGTGACTTTTTGGTAAACCACGACGATTAAAATGTTTCGAATGTTAGGCCAATAATCTTGATGGTCAAGGTTAAACCGATCGAAACTGCCTTCCCTATTATGAACTTTTATCGTTTTCTTAACGATCGAGGAGGAACCCCTGAAGGAGTTCTGAAACGTGGACTTTTGTCTCGAAACTTTTTCGTCGTCAAACTCTTCCTCTAAATGGAGGAAAATTATTTTTTTTTAACTTTCATCTTCACCATCGATAGTTCTGTCATGTGCATTTAGCCCTATCTTTCAATCGTTCCTGAATCTCGGCAGATGTCGGAACTTTCACGTTAAGCATTACCTTATATAATACAGTCTGGGCTTGCGTTGTAGAAATTCTTCTACGTTAAGATATTTACAAGAAAGTGATTTTTGTCATATCTCGCGTAAGATTTCACTTTCTCAACATTTTAATATCAATTTCACTAATGCTTCGAAGACTTTACGGTATTTATCTATGGAGCTTAATATATTTCGAATACGGGTCGAAGGTAAAGGTGGAAAACTTTTAATTTTCTCGGATTCTGCATTCAGAATACCTTGCCGCCTGCCCTCTGGAACAATTTCCCGGGGGTGACGTCTTACCTGCAGCAGAGCCCGTCCAGACCTGTCAGGCCTGTGGGAAGTAACACGATAGAAAGCGTCGCAGACCTGACGGAACAATTTAACGAATTGACTGTAGTCGACAGAAGAACGTACAGGAGACCCCCGCCGACGTACCTGTGTCACTTGTGCTTCAGGAAAGGCCATTACATCAAAGATTGTCCGCAGGTCGGTACTTTCTCGTGAAAATTGAAAATCTTCGGCACGTTTCAGAATCCCCGGGCATGTTCCAAAATCCTTCGATTCTCCGTGATTTCACCAAGAAGAACGCTCTCCCTTCTTTTGATACGTCGTAAAGAGGTGCTCCAGGTGACGTCCGTTTACATCGATGCGACATCGCGATCGTTGAATTCCTGAAGCACGCTCTTATCACTTCCTGACTGATTGCAGCATATCGTGCAGCGAGAATATTTCCGCATCTCTAAAAATAACGGGAATATTCAAGCTAATAATAGTTATCGCCTCACCCCGTATATCGATTGAAATGTTTGGAATTCAATATTAAACGCAAAGCGTGTCTACTTTAGAAGCGCGAGCTAATATTAGGGTCCAATTTGTGGCGGATGTTGCCCCAATGAATTGTGTTACCGGGATATTTGCGGTGAGGCTCCCGTTTGCCTTTCCACGTTTGAATTCGAAAGGGCCGTGCTTGACGTGCTTTATATAGCCTCCTCTCATTTACTTCTCTCTCTCTCTCGAGAAACGATATGGCGGCAAATCTCCATCGAACGCGAAGTAATCGTCGAGAGAGAGAGAGAGAGAGAGAGATCGGTAAATTTCAAGATGCAGCCGTAAACGACGCGCGTGCCTCGATGCAACGGCGTGATGCGCGGCCCTCAATTGAGCGTTAATTGACACAACAAATAGCATGTCTCTGGGACACGTGACGTCACACGTCCAATCATCGCGGTATGCTCGATGAGGGTGAGCCAATTAGGCCCGCGCGAATAAAGCGCCGGTAGAACCTCGCTCGCGTGATCGCGCTCCTCTTTTTCGCGAAACGATGCTCTCGGAATTTGTCGCGGGCTAATTCGAAATTGCTCCCCCAAATTCCTTTCTTTGATTTCACACTATTCTCGTCCGTCCCGACCTCGATTTGGATTTCGATCTTTGCATGCGTTACTTTCAGGGTTGGGTGGTAACTAGTTACTCAATTAAAAGTTGAGTCAAGGGGTTAACAACTTTTAAATTAACTTAGTTGATTTTAAGTGAGCTAACTTTTTTTTTTATTTAAACTCAATTTAAGATGCATTAACTTTGACTTTTTTTATATTAGTTAAGATAATTCATTAATATTATACGATTATTGCGGGCTGCTTACAATATAAAATGAGAAAAATAAAAGATAATGCATAATTGTTTTTCTTTTCTGTTGGTTAATCACAATATTCGAACAACTGAGGCAATCCGATTAACCGTTGATCATGAATTATTATTTGGCTTTTATTAACTGTGTGGAAGGGAATAATTGATTGCGTATTATCTACAAGAACCCCTTAAACCGATAACGACATTGTCATCCTATCTCTGCTTTTGCCTCGTTAAAGAGTTGACTTTTGACGTTCTTATTCTCGATTAAAACTGAAGTAATTAAAAATTTAATCAAACAATCCTATTCCGCACACAATATAACCTCAATGTTTGTCCTATCAATTAAACAGTGGTTTATCGATTTTTACGAGCTCTACTATGTATTATCCGCGCAAAATATAAAATTATTATTATTATTGTTGTTCGGCGGGTTTTGGATACTTGGCGACGTTTTACCTTCGACCTTTCCGTTTTCGAATTTAAATTAAATTTCTTCCACGCGCCGCGATCCGCGAGTATTTGCTAATAACGTGAACAGGCGTGACAATAAAGCGCGCAAATATCGCTTGGTAAGCGCGATCAATCGCGAAGCAGATATAGAAGATGCCGTTTCGCTATTGTTATAAGAACAGCCACAGCAATGCTGAGGTAATAGGGAATGCCTATTAATACCACTGAACTATTTTCCGCGGAATAACGATTTAAGAGTCCTCCTTAAAACCACGGGCAACGTGTACGTACGTGTCGCGGGTGTTCCGCGCGATTATCTCGCGTGTATACTTTGTTAAAATCCGTGAGTCAGCGTTCGCGATACAGCTGGAAAAAAAAGAGAATTATCGGACTTTACACAGTCTTTATCAATCATCCTTATCTGCTGTCGATCGAATAATAGAGCGCAGCCGGCGAATTAGATATAAAAGTGCGCCGCGCTTGGGAAAAAAAGAGTCAAACGTGCGCGCGCGTCGGAGTCTGGCACATTTCGAATTGACAAATGCCCAGGTAGAACAGAAAGCGACGATAACGATGATCGAAATGACGAGAAAATGACTGTGAAAACTCATTTCCCGATTATTCCCTCGTCATTTTGACGTCATCGTTATTTTCCCAGTAAACAAGAAACATCAAATCGATCTTTTGAAATATCTTTTATTTTATGTGGATCTTATAAATATTTTGACGTAATATTTTATAAATGTTCTTAAACTGTTACTTGAAAATATGATATTTCTAAATCCGGGGAAAAGTTTTCCATATGTATATAGTTAGATATAATCATATATAGTTATATATAATTATATATAAATGTACATAATTATATATAAGGCGTCATGTATAAAATGTCCGTATATAAAAATACATAATTATATGAAGAATTTTTTCCTCGGAAATCATAATGTAGAAATATTATTTTTAACATCTCGGCGAAATATTGTCAACAAAAACATTGTATACAACAACATTAAGAACAACATATTTGAGAGACCTGGGAAAAAATGATTATACACGAATTTTATCTTTATATGTCTATATATCATTTTATATGGTTACATATAAAATTTTTCCCCCGGGAACGTTACGTGTTATAAAATATCATCGTAACAATATCGCGTTAATGATTCCTCGCTTACCAGGTTCTGTTCCATCTGAGGTGTCGCCGGTAATTTTGAAATGACTGCTCAAGAAATCTTCTGGGACATTTTCGGAAAGCAAGTTAGGCTGTTAGAAAAGGAGCTTGTCACGCGGGTTCTCCCCCTCGCGTGGGGTGGAACGGAGATGCAGACGTTGAGAAACGCGACGCGAGAGAATCGAGTGAGAACCGACGACGACGACAACGACTACCACGGCGGCGATACCCGCGACACACGCGTACGTGCACACTTGCTTGGACCCCGAGTGACTCATGCAATTGTTCAGCCGGACTGCATTTTGTGCCCAGGCAGTTAACATCGGCGTCTGCGGCGGCGGCGACGGCGGCGACGACGACGTCCGCGACGACGGCTGCGGGCAGCGACGGCGCCGACGGCGACGACGACGACGGCGGCGACGACGCCGATGCGAATAGGAAACTGAAATCTCACGTAATTTCTGCAGGCACGACCGAGGGGGGATGGCCTCACGCCGTACCAGGGTAAGAAGCGCTGTTTCGGCGAGTACAAGTGTCCCAAATGCAAGCGCAAGTGGATGTCGGGCAACAGCTGGGCCAATATGGGCCAGGAATGCATCAAATGTCACATTAACGTGTTCCCCCATAAGCAGGTGAGCGCGCCGATCGAGAGAGGGATATCGCCCTTCTTGCTCTTCTTCACCCCGTTCTCATCTACCCGATGAGAACATCACGCGTGCGATCGATGTGGAATCCACGTCGATCCCACGAACGGTTCTCACAGTTCCCTTCGATTCAGTTAATCGTCATAAGCAGACTGGGGAAAGTCACTTCACGGCAATGTTGAATTTATCACTTCCCGCGGCAATCCTGAGGGGAACGCATGCCCTCACACTGCTCCGGATTGTATGGAAATCTGAAAAAATTCTCGTATGTCTGTGAAAGCTTTAGTGACAAGTCCCTGCGATCGTAGAAGCCGGATTGCATCTCACTTATTCTTTACAGATTGAAATCGGAGACCGAGAAAACTGGATTTCAGTTAAAAATTCATGACTTGTATGAATGAAAGAGAATAAAAAACCTTATTAGGCTGTTTTATTTAAAGTTATGTACTTTAGAAAAAATTGCGTAATGGTGTAGACTCCAAAAAGTTGAATTGTATGAACGAAGATTCCGTGAGGAAGAAAATAAAGTCTTATTCCAGAAAAACAAAATAAGATCATTTTTATAGCAAATTCATTATCAAATTCAGTTTAAGCCTGATCAAAATTAGTGTGAAATGGAAAATACAAAGAATACAAATATTTATATAACACAGTGTATACAATAATACGTCCAGTACACTTTGTACAATGCACAGCAATACATAGTTTTTTATTAAAAAAAAAAAATATGTAAAACAAAAATTTATTTACAAAGAAAAATCTATTTTAAAAGCATTTTGGAAATCTTTCATATATTCGTTGAAATTAGCATCGAAAGCATACAAAACACAAAAAATCCAAATTATTAATGCAAAAATACTTACGTGGTCAAAGTGGGTCGTTGAGAATCTAAAAGCGTGTTCTACTTCGTTTTTACTCGAAGACGAGCAACTGAATATTAACGTCCTACCAATTATTCTAGAATTCACAATCGGAGAATCGATTGGGTCTTCGACGACCCCTTTTGCTTACCGAAAAAAAAAGAAAGAAAAAAAACTCCCGATTGTAAACAGTAGCAGCGTTATAATTAACGCGTTGCTCTCCGACGGTGATGAGAAAAGAAGCCGGACGGGGGAGAGCGGAGACCCGTCGCTCGTCCCTTCCGGGACGCTCGTTAGAGCGGAGCCCGCGGAAGAACGCTCTTGGTGGCGTCCAGTTCTCGGGATATTACGCGGCCGAGAGCGAAATATCGTGTAAACCGGCGAAAGCTAATTATAGTCGCATAATCGCTCGCTCATTCGCTCACCAGCTCGCTCGCTCGCTCGCTCGTGCCGCCCCCGGTGTATGTGCAGAAATACCCGGACGGAGTCACCCGTAATCGTTACGGCACCGAAAAGGCGTTCTCGCGGGTTCCTATTATAATTAAACGTCAGCCGCGCGCGAAGAGAGGCCGATTACGGTCCAAGAATCGCCGCGCGTCTCAGCTTCGCGCTCGTCACTTACGATCGTCACGCTCGGATCAACGTAATTAACTCAACAACTCGTGTCGGTGATATTAATAATATTATTAATTGTATCAACAATATATATATATATATAAATAACAATACCGAAGTGTACAATGTCGCTGATCGCGTTGGGTTCCGCGGAAAGAAACAGAGAACTCGGGAACGGAATGTTGAATTAGCCGGGACGCGACTCTCTCTCTCTCTCTCTCTCTTTCTCTCTCGCAGTTCTTCTCGAAGAGCAGACGCAGTAAAACCTCACGCAATTGCTTTCCAGAGACCCCTGGAGAAACCCGACGGGTTGGACGTATCTGATCAGAGCAAGGTCCACCCCCAGCATCTTTGCCAGAAGTGCAAGACGCTCGGTTATTACTGTAGACGCGACCAGTTGTGAATCGGGACTTCGATAAAAAGCACAACGGCGTATTCGAGGACACGGTGATATCCTGCCGTCTCGAGGAGTCTGTGCGAGCATGTCTGGTGCACGTGCCTATCCGTACTTTATTGTTCGATGTATTATTTGCGCATGTACATACTGACGACGACGACGTCGACATATCGAGTCGAGGAAACGTAAGAATTGCACGACGGAAATCCGGAGAAACGAGCTCTCTCTGCATAGCGAATTTTGTATAATAAGTCAAGCTCAAATTCACAATTCGGCTCGCACACTTGACGGTTCGAGAGAAATCCCTCCCGTCTACGATGTTGAAGTTCAACTAATAGTACGATACTGTGAGCGCCGACAGTCACGCCGAGGAGTGTATCGCGTTGTCACTACCAAGGATTATGCGAGGTTCGATAATGCGAACCATGATTGTGGAATCATGTATGTGTGTGTATAAATACATATTTATATGTACAATAAATATATATATATATATGTATATTTATTTCTGTAATGTTACGTATATTCGGGATGTCCCGGAATCGGACTGACGAACTTCGGCGCCCGTGCCGAAACGAGTAATTTTTACCGACAAACCTATCCCACTAGAGCGGATTTACAGCAGTTCTTCCAAGTGTTGACCATTTACTTTTCAATACAAAGTTATCGGCAGTTTTTCTTCGGATTGTTCTATCTCTTGATAAGAGACATTGGTAAAAATTGTTTTATCAAACTGAAAGTTGTTGGGGATGTTCAAACACGTGGGATTTGTATTGTATGTTATCATATCACAAATTCAGCGTGTCGCGGAGTTTCTTTATCGTTTATCAGAAAACTCGTTTTCAAAGTGGACATTTTTCTTCTTGACGAACTGGCCGATAGGCACTTTCAGGTTTGCCGCGGAAAATGAATTTTGAAGTCCCCCGACTTTCCCATGTTCTTCCAGATGACAGTGGAGAATTTCCCATGAGCAATGTGTAATCTTAAACTTTAATATTTAGAAGTAGGGATTGCAAGAGGGGTAATTGGAAGCAACACAAAGTTGAAAATTCAGTAACATAATATAATCCTGAATGCAAATTCAAGCTAACGAAAAATAAATGACTATTGCAAAAACGAATACGGTTGGGAGCATTTCAGGGAATTGTGAGCAAAGTTAAGAATTGTCCAGATTGTTATATCTTTCCCCGACTTTTCCGGGATTTTCCCTGACATAAAGAATTTTCACGGCTTTTCCTGGTTTTCCAGGTGTGTGTAATGTTATTTACAGAGAAGCTAGATATAAGGGAAGCTGATGTAAATGGACAGCACTTCGAACAACCGCTGTGAATAATTCACTCTGGTGCCAAAACGGCTCATTTGTGAACATGGATTATTCATAAAAATTACTTGTTTTGGCGACTCTACAGGCACTCGAAATTTGTCAATCCAATTTCGGGACACTGTGTGTCTGTGTGTATATATATATATATATATATATATATATATATTTCCTCCCTATATGTACACCAATATATGTACACACACGAACCTGACGTCGTAGCAGGGTAGGAAACGCTGTTTCGGCGAGTACAAGTGTCCAAAATGCGAGTGCAAGTGGATGCCGGAGTAACATCGGGGTTAATGTGGGCCAATGCGGTCAATGATGTCACATTGTATCCCCCCCCCTCCCATTCACATAAATCACATCCCAGGTGAGCGCGCGGATCGAGAAGAGTCCATCTCGCTCCTCATACATGTATATATTATTTGCATATGAGTGACAAATATACAAACCAAAGATACAACAATTGCTGCGTCGTCTCTATTTCTCGCATCCCTCCCTCATCGAGTAATGGATAATCGCGACAGCGAAATCCCCTCCATCTACGCGAATATGATCACGCGCGCGTGGTGTAGAAATATATTTTATACAATACAATTTACATAGAGAATATACAGTGGTCAAGGATTAGTGACGACGAAGAGACGATCCGCCGCGGGATCCTCGCTAAAATACGCCGCGGAGTTAAACATCGTCGCCGCCGTAGAATCTACGGTCATCGTCTGCAAACAAAACACATTTACGGTTACGTTACATTTCACCACCGGTAATCACCGCGGAACTTAATCGAGCATAGAGCTAGCTAATTCCCCCCTACCCGACGAGGTACGATCACATTGCGAACGGCAGTGCCGTGATTCTCGTTACCGACAAGTACCGAGTACTCGCATGAAGACGAGTCACAGGAATATTTCTTGATGAAAAAGGCGCCGAGTGCGCGCGCGGAAAGTTATGTTTACAAAGTGCTCGCGTAAAGTTGCCCGTACATGGAAAAGTTAGCGACAGGTTTGCTCGTCGATTTGAAAAGTTTTATATAATTAATATAACTAATTGCTAAATTAATATTTTATATATATTAATAAAGATTATTATTATTATTCTATATATTTTTATGATAAATAAATTCTATACATATATATCTTTTTTTTCTTTTCGGCGAAAAAAGATGATAAAAAATGACTTAAGTGACCGGATAGTAGCGTTGCTACAGTGATCTGGTTCTAACCTGGCAATTCTTTTAATAGGTTAATACGTGAATATTTCTTGTACAGCTGATCTTTAACCCGTTTACGTTCTACGTCATTTAATTTTTCTCTCAGATAAAAGAACAACCCAATGCTAACGCAATCAGTATTGCGCGAGCATTGTGATGCGAGAGAAACACACAAACCAATTACGAATCTTTCAACTCTTCAAATCGGCGAGCACAAAGCAAGGCTTTGCGTGTATGGGGCGACTTTCGAGACGGGAGTTGCCCGCAGAATCCTTCAAGTCTTCCGACAAACCTCGACTTCTGGCCGCCTTAAAGACGTCATCTTTACACTCAACTAACGAGTCTACGACTCACCACCCCGTTATCCCGGCGTGCACGTCGGTAAATCATCATTTCTCTCTCTCTCTCTCTCTCTCTCTCAATAGGCACAAAGCGAACGCATTTATCGAGAGCCAATCACAGCCCGGGTGATTGACTCCGTAAGATCCCGTCAAGATGCAAGACATTGATTCACCTCAGATGGATCCGTGCGGTAGGAGGAACTTTCCGCCGGCAGATGCTGATACTGCTGCTGCCTCCACTCCTCGTAGCGTCTCATCGCGAGCTCACCGTGATCGCTCGTTCGCGTCGCGTTCCCTCCGTCTTCTTCGGCCGGCGGTGACGCCGGAAGCGACGTCGGCCGCTCGCTCGTCTTGTCCGAATTCTTCACCGAGTGGCAGATGTCGAAGATGGTCTGGGCGGCGGGCTGGACCGCCACCGGGCTCGACACGCTCGGCGCCGGTTGGCTGACCAGAGTGATCACCTGCTGCGGCTCCTTGCCCTCGGTATTGAAGACCAACGACGGCAAAGGAACGGAATGCAGGATGTCCGTGTTCGCGTTATCCTGGCCGTTCGCCGCGACGTCGGTCGGCGACGCGCTCTCCGGCTGCGGCGCTATGGGTCCCGGGAAGGTGGGCGGCTGCTGCTGCCCGACCAAGCTGATAACCTGCGGGCTCTGGGACTGCTGCGGGGGCGAGGCCGGCGGCGGTTCCGGGAAGAGCTCCGCCCGGAGGTTGGGCAGGAAGGCGTCGATCGCCCGCCACGTCGGCGCCCAGAGGTTGGAGCTCGGCGCCAGCACGTTGGCGGACGACATCACCAGCAGCATGTTCTTCAGGGACTCAGGGATGGCCTCGAAGAGCAGCTCGCTGTTGTCGGCGTGCATGTAAGCGCGCAGCAGGTCCAGCACGGTGAGCCAGAGCGGCAGGAAGCCGGATAGGGTAAGCAGCGGCGTCAGATGATGAAGGAACACCTTGGAGAGCAGCATCGCGGCCCGGACGCGCGTCTCCTCGACGCCGATCGGGTCGTTCGAGGCGATCGGGTCCAGCAGCTGGGCCAGCAGCGGGAAGAGCACCTCCTCGAGACACTGGGACCACTCGATCGCCGACAGCTGGGCCAGGTCGTGGGCCAGCAGCGTGCTCTGCAGGCACGTGATCGCGGCGGTGCGGACCAGGCGACGCGCGTCGCAGCAGAGCCGCGCGATACCCTGCAGCAGGGGCCGCCAGGCCTGCGGCCACAGGGATATGCCCTCGTCGATGGTGCCCTCCTCCGCCCACCAACGGAACACCTGGGCGATCCTGGTGTGCAGAGTGTGCATCAGGTCCAACAGTTGTTCGGGGCTGTGCTGATAGCCGGGCGACTCCTCCGCCGAGCTGCACACCCGGTTCCGCTTGCCCGCGCACTGCAGCACCGCCTCGGCGAACGTTCTCACGCAGTTGACGCAGAGGTCGAAGTTGAAGGGCGTCACGTGGGCCATGTCGCGCACCAGGAAGTTCAGGCTCTCGCAGCATTTGACGAACGCCGGCGAGTCGTGCGGCTGCAGATCGCGAGCCAGTATTATCCTCTCCGCGGCTACCGGGAGGGGCGCCTCGGTGCCGGTCGGCGACACCAGCACCCACTCCGGCACGGGGCTGATCGGTCTCGGGTCCAACACCGACGCTCTCGCGGTCTCGTCCAGGACAGTGTTGGAGCGTTTCGGCGCCAACGCGCCGGCGCCCGCGCACTCCAGCAGGCTGAACACCACCTTCCAATCCTCGGCGCTGTGGATGTTCGCGGCGCCGGTCTTCAGGAGCTCGAACAGCCCGTAGGCGATTTGCCGAGCCAACGGCGAGGTCGTCGCCGACGGCAGGTGAGTGAGGGGCAGCAGGGGAGAGAGACACGCGAACTCCTCGCCGCGTAACAGCCGGATGGCCAGTCTCAGCATGCCCACCGCCACCCTCTCGAGCAGGTAAGGGTGGTTCTCCCGCGCGGCCACCGTCAACAGACGGTCCAGGTAACTCTGCACCACCGGCCAGATGCACGTCACCCGGTCGCGATTCTGGATGGTCACTTCCAGCAGCAACTCCAGCAGGAATATAGACACGTCCTCGTCGCTGGGATTCACCGACACCAGGGCGCCGACGAGGGAATTCAGCGACTCGCTCTGCAAACAGACGAATGTCTCGGAGATACCAACTCGAGAGACGTAAAACCTGATCCTCGTTCCGATTTCAGCCTCGAAGAAGTTGGATTCTAATCCAGCGTCACGTCGTCGCACACCCGACGAGGTAATACCGAAGATCGTTGATCTTTGGTATACAGGAAAATGTCGTTGTTTAGAAGACTCGGTTGATAAATTCGTGTCGAGTCAGCGTAATATTTACTTCGAAATATTTACTTTAAAATAGAACATTTTCAGAGAGACACTATGCGCGACTGACGCTGTAACGTTTTAAAATCCGACACTGCTACACTCTTTTCTCTATCCAGCAGCAAGTTTGACGTTCAAAATGAGCATCGAGAATCAGCATGAAAAGGCAGCTCAGCACGCTTGAACGACTCACCTGAAAGAATTTGCTCTCCTCGATGATCGACTTGAGGTAACAGTTGGCGATAAACTCCGTGGCCTTTTTCCGCACAGTCGCCTCAGCGGGATGCGACTGCCGCGACGTGTCCATCGCGATGTACGAGTAGAAGGTAGAGAATATCCCTTGATCGCCCGGCGAGACCTTCGGCGTGGTCGGCTCCCGAAGCAGAGATATCTTGCCCGACGGATCGATGAAGTCCTCCGCCTCGGTGAGGTTTTTCGGCAACAGTCTCGCTTCGTAGAGTGACTGCAGGCAGTCGATGATGTTCTTCCAGGACGCTCGCAGAGCGTCCCCGTGTAAACGCGTGATCTTGAAGAGAGTGAGCGCGGCCAGCTGGCATTTCCCACTCCCGCCGAGGTGCTGCACTACCTGCTCGGGCTTCCCGCCGGTTATCAAGCCGGTGAACTTGCACAGGCTCACCACGAGTGTGTCCAGGTCGCTGCACATGCTGTAGTGAGCGCTGATCGCCGCGCAACTGTGATAAAAAAAGAGGATATTACAAGGTGTACAAAAGTAAGTTTATAATTAATATAATTTTTATAATTATAAAATTAATATAATTTATAATAGCACAATTATTAATTTTAAATATATATATAGTGTAATTATTAATCATAATTAATATAATTTCGAAATTTTAACTAGTTAATACAATTAGTGAATTTTTATAATTATGAATTATAATATTTATATTAATTAGAGTGATAAAATTATATGAAGGATACGTAACAAACCTGAGAAACGTTTGAGACACTTTGCACTTCAACGATCTGTCCGGCGCTTTGTCGTAGGCACGACAAAGAGCGCTGACGATCGGCCCCCACGCGTATTCGGCCAGATCTCTGTCGACGAAATCGCCGGAATTGCCTACTTTCGAATACGCGCTTTCAGGCCCGGAACCTCTCCTCAGCAAAACCTTCCACAGATAATTGTCCTTCACCAATCCGGTTTGCTCGGCCGGCATTACAATCTCCTCTCCCCTGAACAAGCGGCAGACAGAAGTGAGCAATGGCTCGACACTTGCGATCAAGGCAGACGTGAATCAGAGCTGATACTGAGGAAATATCGCGTAGGTACAAGTAACCAAATGCTTACTTAATCGACGTGTATATTTCGTCGAGCATATCCTGATCGAAATCGGCATCGCCGTTCACCTTCTTCAAGTTCCTCTTGAATTCGTCGGCGGTCATAGGATTGTTTTGCCTCTTGACGTTGTAATTATGCTGATCGACGTTCAGCATTATCACCGCGTAAGCCAATGTAAAGGCAGCGTCGGCCGAGGCGAACGGCCTGCCATTGCTGTCCTGGAAACGATAACGATTCGGTTATTCTAATGCTTAATCCGGCTCCCGGCTTTGAACACGGCTGCGTTCGGAAATACCACTCTGAAGGTGGAGCAGAGTGAATAGAGGGGGGGGATTCGCTCCGAGTATGAATAACTTCCGAACGTGAAGACACCAAATCGATCCTTATTAAAATTTGTGCGTTAAATTTTTAACATACCTACGTATTATTTTAACGTATTGTGTTTATCTCAATATTTTGCGTTGAGTTAATATTCAACGTGTGTTTTAAAATAACATATTTTATACTTCAGTGTGTCGATTAACATAGTGTTTGTGCTATACTTTTCAACATATTCACCTCGTGTTAAATTAACGGCGAAATTTGTGCGGACCGTTTGGCGCATGTGAAATGTGTTAAATTTAGCTCGAGATTGTTTACTATTCATTCCGAACGCAGTTCAACAGAGAGTGCATGCGTCTCACTCACGTGCCAATGCTCGGCGAATTTCTCCAGTAGAAGAGCTATGAGAGGCGCCTCCCCGGGCAACCGGAACGACTCCAGATAAAGTCGCAGGGCCTGGTCGATCCGGGTGTTCCTCAGGTCGAAGCTGTGCACGAAATAGTTGAGAATGTTCTTGTTCTCCTTCTTGCTGATGTACTCGCCTATCGCCTTCTTGTCCAGGCCAGGATTCTCCCGCAGCAGCTTCGCCACTTTCTCCGGATCCGATTGGCCGGGAGTACCGCCCAGCAGACCGTGCTCGGTGAGCTTCGCGATACCCTCGCGCGGGTTCTCGTTGAACTTCTCTGTGCCGAGGACCAGCCACTGCGAAAAGGAAACGACGAGTCCTGCTTATCATGGAATTATACGGCAGAAACAACACGGGGACGGGCACCTACGCGTTTGTCCGCCTTCGTGGCGAGCAGGTCTTCGCGCGTGGGAAGATTCAGCGACGCCTCGTGGCGCGACGGCTTGCACGACTTGCCCTTGCAACGGATCTCCATGCCGACGACCAGCATTAATATCGCATCCAAGGAGATGAACTGCATGCTGTACATGCCGGCTGTAGGCACGGACACGTTCTGAAAGGGAATGTTTCACGAAACGTGAGATCCCTTCGTATCGCAGACATACACAAGTATGAATATTCACGCGAGGAACGACGTGTACCTTGGAAAACATCTTCATGAGTTCCTCGTACATGTTCGTAGAATAAAGCCCGCAATCGTAATTCAGATACAACTCAGCGGGCAAGCCGGGTATTCTCCACAATCTAACTATAGCCTCTGTGGATTATGAAGATAAAGATTTATATCGCCTGTATTCATCTCACACGCACTTCAAAATTGAAAGTCTCACCAAGCGCCAACTCCCGTTGCTCGTAGGATATCTTATTAGATTCTGAATTCACTATCTCCGTTAATTTCGTTAGGTAGTGCTCGAATTGGAATTTCAGATGCTCCCTTTGCGATTCGAATAGCAGGAATGATACTTGAAGATCTACGGCAAGGATCGACAGTCTGTCTGTTCCGAGTAGCTGAAACACAAAACAGTTATGATGTTTCCATAAAATAGATAACAACGCGATGTCCCTGCATTTGCAAACGATATATTAAATATAATTTTATATAATTTATTATTATAATTATAATCAAGTTTCTTCCCTCACCAAGATGAGATTTCTACACAAGTCGTCCTTCACGAGGGCGAGTAACGACGAGAAATTGGAAAGAGCGTCGGAGGCGATTTCCAACGCCACTTGCAGCAAACTGAGACCCAGGTGGGTCATGATTTCGTTGTTCTGCTTGTCGAGGGGGCTGCACAAGGAGACGAGAAACCTGAACAGCTCCCGCACGCATAATGCGCCGTACGGTGCGCGTTGTTGCAGCGGCATGAAACGAACACCCTGAGTATTCACGTACTCCTCTATCTGCTCCGGCTCCTTCGTCTTGCAAGTCTTGGACGTGGTCTCGTCAATGGACAGATCTTCCACGCTGCCCACCGGAGACTGCGTCAAGTCAATGCTCTTATCTTCGTCACCTGCACAATTATCACAGAAAGTTATTAATAAAATTTACTTAGAAATTTATTATAAAATCTCATGAAACGAGAAAAATTCACTTATAAAATCCATTTATAAAGTCTTGTAAGAAATTTATAAGATTATCTCTTATAAGAAATACTTTGTAATTATTTTACTTTTTCTTTCATTTTGTTTTCGTTCATCAACCTGTAAAATATCATCACTGAGGTTTATTTAAAAACCGATTATAAAATCCTATAAAATAAAACATTTGTCCAGAAAGATTTACTTGAAAATTTATTTACAAAATCTAATATAAGAAATTTACTTTACAAGACTATGTTTCATAAAAGAAACTATCTCAATAATTTAATCCTCGTAATTTAAGAGATCATCTTTTCATTAACTTTCACAAGAAATTAATGATATAAACGGAAACAACAGATAATACCTTGACTCTCTGACACGGACTGTTTGGCGGAGGATTCGGTCGCGTCGTTCGCCGCGCTCCTCTGTTCAGACGTGTCTTCCTTTCCCGCGTTTTTGGTTTCTTCGCGAGGTGCAGCTTTATTACTCTCCGCGTCGGCGCTCTCAGAAGTGCTATTCGCCTCGCTCGCTGCCTCTACCTCGCCGCTAACTTCTCTGCTGCTCGCTTCCTTATCGTCTTCCTGCTTCTTGCTCGCTTCTTGGTTATCCACCGCTTTGCCGCACTCGTTCTTACCACCGTTGTCTTTGCCACTGTTCACCTTCCCGTCGCTTTTCTCGTCCTCGTTCTTATCGGCACTCCCGTGATCCAAGGACCCCTGCATGTCGACAATATTCCCGACCGGCGAGACGGGGGTGCTAGCCAGGTGCCCGGCAGCTCGTATTCCGTCGACCGAGCTAAGGATATGCGGCTCTTTGTCGTCGACGTCGTCCGTGGCGGACTTGGACTTCTGCTTTATGTAGCTCTTGTGCTTCCGGTTCTTGCTTCGGGTACTCTCCATACTGTTCGTTCTCATTTTCTGTGGAACGTGTGACTCTTCTCTCATCGAAATATGCACGTATTATTTTAAGTCGGGACCTACCTTCATATTCGGCAGAGCTCTGGTATCGTCGACGAACTGCGGCAATCTGGTGAACAAGTGCTGCACCATGTCCCTCAGACAGTGTTCCGCCGTTTTCCTGAGTATTTCTACGAGAGAGACACCTCCATTGTTACTACGATGCGCTCGTGACTCGTCGGCAGAAATGGCCGATTCTACGCGCGACGCTACTTACCGCTGAGCCGTGTTTCGAAGCATATCCTGAAACAACTCAGCATAATCTCGCATACACTTTCGTTGGAGAGGTAGTCGCCGGCGGGTGACAGCATGAGGGCGCGCAAAACCTGAAGGATTCGCATGAGGACCACCCCATCGCCGGACGCGTCGGTGCCCACGAATCGGGCGTGCGTGACCGCATCGGCGATTGCCTCCACGCAGGATGCTATCGCGGGATGATTGAAATCTAGAAAACAAAATATATTGAGACACTATATACTTATATATATAGTCTGTTCCTTTCAGCCGAACCGGCTGCACTGAGGTTAAAAAATCTACACACACATTGAAGTGTGTAAAGTGTACACGTGAGATTATCGCGCTTCAGTGTGTGCAAATTTCTTCAACGAGTGCAGCCAGTTCGGCTGAAAAGAACAGACCAAATAATTCTAGAGCCATGCGAGACTAACCAACAAGACCGTAAGAAATGATCTTGTTAACAGCAGACAGCGCCAGGCTGGTCACCGGCCCTGTGGTCTCCTCTGATCTTATAATTTCCAGGAAGGGAGCGAGGAAAACTCCAGGTTTCAACTGAGACAGATCTCTCGGCTCGTTCAGCGCCTCCTTCAAAGTGTTCAAGCCCTTTATGAGAGTATCCTGATCGTCATCCTGGAATGCAAGAAACATTCGAGATTCACCACAATGTCAATCGATTCTTTTTGCGGCTTCATATCAACTGTATATCTGATATCTCGCAGTCAGTTAAAATGATCTCGGAACAACCAACGTGGCGATATATCTAAGGAACGGGTTGTTCTCCCAGATCCATATGGATTGTTAGGGATATCTTGGAAATAAAAGAAAAAATGACAGAAGACACAGCTGATATCCATCACAGTATTCACATCAGGTACAACAGAAATTACACCAAGGCTTTCACGAAACTCTGAGCTTTATCTTGTCCCGAAAAATGTCGAGGACGGGAGCAGCCTCGGTCGGAAGATCGAACAGCCAGCAAAATAAATATAAACACGGGAAAATGCAAGCTCGAGGACGACACAGTGTCTCGTTAATGTCGTCTGAAACGAGACGGACGACCTAACCTGATGGGAGTGCGACGACCATCGGGCGCCTCGTCGCATCGCCGTCACCAGGAGGCAGACCTCGCCTTCGACGACGTAGAGGCCACCCCTGGGGCCCGCGGACCTCGCTGTTCGGTTCATCTCGACGCGGCTTCCTCGTCGTTACGCCATCATTCGCGAGCCCTTACTAGCGCGCGCGCGCGGTCGGACGACAATTGGCGACGTTCGGAGCCGCCGAGAGCTCACCGTCACGTCAGGTGGGTCACTTCCAACGCGATAATCATCGACCACCGCCGCCAACGACCGCCCGTCGACCCATGAGTCTCGCGGGATTAGAGCAGTGACGTTTCGATTAGTCGATACGCGCCACTGTCGACACAAGTGACGTAATCGTCGGCGTTCTCGGCCGCACTTGCCGCGTGTCCTTGCGATTCTTCGAGTTCCCTCTTCCCTCTCACCCCCCTTACACAACCGGTCGTTCGTCGAATCCGCGAATAAGTTTATTATCGCCCGGTGATGCTCTCTATGTGTTTAACTTTCAGCGCGACGGAGGAGAAACAGACGGCCGACAGCTCGCGACACGCGAGTCGTGTGCGTCAGACGTAAAGTTTGTTTTCCATTCCTGCACCGGGGCTGCACTAGGACTGAATTAGTGCAGGCGGGAACGGACGGGTGAAGTAAGTGCATAAAGTACGCTCTAAATAGGGAAATGATAATATGACGAGCTACGTCGCAACTGTAGAATTGAACAGTTGTTCAACTGCCTGGGAAAGAATTTCTCATATGTAATTATATGCAGAATATATCCGTATATAAAAATACACAACCATATATGATTATATATAATTATATATATGTTTTTATACATCAACATATTTTATGTATGACGCCTTTTGCACCTATAATTATATCTAATTATACATATATAGAAAATTTTTTCTCGAGTGTCTGAGAAAACGTGAAAAGCAAAAGTTCCGAATGTTTCCAAATGAGAAAATTGTTCACAAGTACACGTTGGAGAAGAAAATAACTTCCTGAAGATTGATCTTGAATCTTCTTCTCTGCCGTGAACACGTGAAAAGTGTCGATTTTCTAATTCGAAAACATTTAGAGTTTTCACTTTTTACGGGGTTTCCGCCGTAGGGGAAAATTAATCGATATTCCAGTTCTGTAATAGAATACACTTTAGTACACACTTCTTGGATTTAGTACAATCAGTGCAGAAATAGAAAACAGACCAGTGGGCTGCGTTCTTTTGGACGCTCATGCGGTGGAAGCGTTCTATCTTCCTTTAGCATGCGATGAACAACAGAGATAGAACGACGCTTACAGCGCGCGCGTGAGCTTCGCTAAAAAGAACACAGCTCTAACGTTTGCCGAAGAAGACGAGCGTTGAAAACCACTATTAGTTTAGTCACGCGGCTGCAGCGTTTCTGTATGGTTTTTTCGTTGGATCTTCGTAGCCTCTTGCGGCTGTTTTCTAAGAAACTGTTTATCGGCAGTTGAAGGTAAGCAAGGTGAAGTGGCTCGTTGACATTCTCAAGTATCTCTTGACGTTCGTTCCCCCGATTCCCCCCTCCCGCAACCACGTGTATTCTTTGCATAAAATCGTAGATATCAATCTTTATTGAAATAAGATTCGTCGTGTGCATGTGTGTGTACGTATGCATATGCGATCCAGATGGGACGCACTCAAGTTCGCGCGAATTTGCGATGCGAAGATGACAGAGATCGTTATTTCTGTCCGTTGACTGGAACACTCGTGGCAGTGGACTCGAGACAGACGTCATCTTTCCTCGGTGGCACTGCGACGAGACGCATCTCCGGGACGTGATGTCGTCATTGTGATCGCACGTCGAGTGTCAGATTAGCTGTAGTAAAGCAGATATTCGATCGTGTGTGGAATGTCCATTGACAGGTTAAAATGGCCGCTCTTCTCTCTCTCTTTCTTTCTCTTTTTCTCTCTCTGATGAAAAATAACGACGAAAGACACAGCTGCTTCGGGATTTATTTAGGTTACTTACGCCGCGTGTCGATACCGTACGAGTGACGTGTGCCTTGCAAATCGCGCGCGTGAACTTTGGACGCGATGCTCGGTTAACGCATCGGTGATTCTCCGTTTAATGACACGAGTCGACACCAGCATCGTTTTGTCTCTCTCTGTATTCAATGACGTGATGAAGATAGAATGATGCCTGTGCCGATTCTCGTCGCTAAATGGAAGGTACTTCTCGACCACGCTTAGCGAAACGTTTATTTCCCAACTGTTGCAAGTTTTATCAATCATGTTAGGATTGTTCTTTTAGATACAGCTTCTACCGAAGCCTTCAATCTTAATTTGAATTTTTACAACGAAGCCGAACTGTGGTACATTCTTTGGAAGGATAAGAAAATCTAAAAAGAGAAACTGAAAGAATTGAAGCTAGCAGATACGTTAGAAGAAGCTGAAGACATGTCCTGTGTATTTCCTTGGCTCAACCATGCGCAACGAAAGATATGGAGAAATAATCTAATCTCAATGCAGAGAAAAACAGCTCCAATGGTTGTAAACTAAACGTTCTGTTGAAATGCGGCCGTTCCGTTCTAACGCGACGTAAATGCGACCGTCAGTCGAGGAAATTCATTCGATCGAGTTGTTTAACATTAGGACTGTAGGTTTTTAAGACTGCGCGGTCTTTTTATCTTCTTATCTTAGCGACGCGCAGCCGATATCCCTTCTAGAGATTATGGAGATCCCCCTGTCCCCGTAAGGAAAGAAAGATTTGCATTCGGCCAAGGTTCAATTCGAGGCGCATCCTCGTTTATTCCACGGCGGAAAGAGCGACGATTTTGCATCACGAATTAAAATCGTCGTCGCTCGCGAATGAATCGCACAACGCATGCGTTCAGAGGAGCAGTTGTTCGTTGAATGTCCAACATCCGTGTTGAGATATGAACGTATACAGTGTAAATTCCTGCATGAAATTCCATCGTCCCCATGTGTTCGTTCTCGCCGAATGCTCGAATAAAGTCGGTGACTAACGCTCACGTGCGAGGTGGTCGTGACTTCGAGGCGTAATCGAACGAATGATCCCTTCAGCTCAATAGAATGGGTTCAGTTTCCAGTACGCGCAAAGTAACCATGACTTCGGCACGGGAATTCATCGAGCAAGCCATCGCCAAGGAATCGGTCGTCATATTCTCCAAGTCCACCTGTCCGTACTGCAAAATGGCGAAACAGGTGAGCGTAGCGTCGCGATCCTTTCGCTTCAACGCTTACAAATGACCGAAAAATGCCATCTCGCTCTTTGAGATGGGATCAAAAGTAGCTATCAATATGTCGATTTCATCCGGCACTTACGCGTATAATTAGTCATTTTGAACGCGCATCCTTGCAGGTGTTTGACTCGTTGAACAAAACTTACATGGCGATAGAACTGGACGGCAGGGAAGACGCGGACGAAATACAAAGTGTGCTGGGCGAAATGACAGGTGCCAGGACAGTGCCCAGGGTATTCCTCAACGGGACGTGCCTGGGTGGCGGTACCGACGTGAGAAAACTCCACGAGAACGGCGAGCTTTTAAAGAAATTTTGAGGATGAATCGCATTTACTTAACGCAATACTTAATACGACGCAAATAACGTGTTCAGTCTAATTTTATTTCGATTTTATTATCAAATTAATAAAATACTGTTATTTTGTCGACATAAATATACCGATCCAAGCTGAATCAATTTCAATTACCCTATCATTTAAATTAATGATAATTATAGGATAAATCGTGTGAGTATTGCACACGTTATGATAAAATAGGGAAGTAGGGGACTTCAAGCTTTACAAAAAATTTAGGCAATATTCAAATAACTTTCATAAGAGTAATGCCAGTGAAACGGTTTAAGGAGCATCTTACAGTGCAAAGAACTGTACTTTTTGGCTATATTTGTGTTTATAAAGCAAAATTAATTTTCACGATGTAGGAGCGTAAATAAAAACTCGTTAAGTGCTAAAATTTGTCGGCTTGTACCGCTTAAACAGAAAATGACAGACGAATGGCGTTTATATCAGTTGAAAATATAAGTCTTCTTTTTTAATTTGCATACCCACAAGTTGGAATGTAATTATTTTTCGCCGAGTTATTTCATGTTGAAACAAGAGTAGCACTTTGAATTTAATTGTTCACAGTAGGCGAACGAATTTGTACACGACATTTGATAAATAATGAATAAAGAGCTTAAAGTTTTAACTGTAACATATACGTTTGTCGCATTTTTGATAAAAATTAATTTTCAGTATAAAAGGTCTATTCAAAGATGAAGTGGGAAATTGTACAATCACCATTTCTCATTTAACTCGAAATACACCAATCGGAATGCAGTATTTCCATCCAGCAAGCAATCCAAGCACGAAACGAGCATCGTGTGCCGACGGCGATATCACAAGCAAAAATAGTGGGTCTAACAATCTAAACCCGTTATTCTTTGCGGGAAATTAACGGGTCTAATGGATTGCTAGACCCGTTATTTTTGCTGAGTTTTGAAGTCTCCGCTACGAGGCGCCATACTGCATGTACGAGAAATCGAGGTCGTGATACGCCTCAACAGTGGTATCAGTCACCCATTCTCAATTGACAAGTAGTATAACTCAACGGATAATCAGCCTTATTTTCCTGCTATATTCCAACACAAGCGAAATTCAACGGGATACAACTTCGGCAAAAGTGACGATAGCCAAATGCTTCCGAAAGCATCTTAAAGCTTGAAGTATGTACTTTTCAGGAATATTAAACTCGTAACGCTACTATAGTTTATTGCTAAGATATATCGGGCTAAATGAGAAATGACGACGCTTTTAAATTATATAAATCTCTCTTGTCATCTTTTCTTTAAATGGTGCGACCAAACGAACTTGATGAAAAATTTTAACATTCGTCGGGAATCTAATTCATACTGCCGTAACATCGTGAGGAATTAATTAAACTTGACAGACTGAAATATTTCTAAAAACTAGAGACTTTGCGGTATAAAATGATTCCTCCTCGCCAGGCTTATTCATGCGTCCGGTTGGATTTCGCCCGCAGTTGAGCGAAACGAATCCTTCATTTTTCATGTATTCCACGATCGACTCCAGCTTCGGCCACGATGCGGCCTCCACGTGTCATCTTAGGGCTGACCAGTGAGTCCACACGTACATCCGTCTAAAAATACTTCGGCAGTTCGGTGCGATCGATCGTCCCAGGTGGCGGAATGGACCTGTCGCGGTATCGCAAAGTCCTCATCTACGCGTTGACGTTCCTGGCGTACGCGTGGTCCGGCTATGGCTCCGGATTGCTGTCAAACCTGCGGGACGCCGTGTTGGCGGCCGAGTCTGTCTTTCACGACTTCTTCGAGAACGCCATCACTGTGGCCAGGAAAATCAAGGACATACACGAGGTGTTCGACGCGGCGGTGGAGGAGAACTGCGTCTTCCGGTGTCCCGACGGTAAATGCGCGATCCCGACCGATTGTCGTTACGTCGCGCCGTCAAAGCTCGCCGCCTTATCAAGTTATCGTACGGAGCTCTCGCCACCATTGGTTGATCAGGCGAGAGTCCGCAGGCGAATCGTTTGTTTTCATTGCACTTTCTACACTCTCCGGCCAGCTCCTCCCCCTTCGCTTTCCAGTCCGGACGCGCGGCTCTTTCGCGTCGGACGACGAAGGAATCGGAAGAACTGAAAGAGGACGATATATTTCTGACTGATTACGGTTCATCACAATGTGACATGTCAAATGTCACGTAATATATTCGTGGTATATCGCGCGATATCGCGGCGAGTCAGGTTAGGTGAGATTCCTTTCTCCTGGCAAGTACGTGGCGAACGCGAGGCTGATTCGGGAGGTTCCGATTGGAGGAGTCTGAAAAGCGCGCGCGCGCTCTTTCGAATGTTCCAGGATCCGCGCCGAAACCAGACTGGAACCACAAACCGCAGAGCAACGGATGCGGCTCCCTTGGAATCGAGGTCAGCGGGGAATTGGTTACTCGTGAGAAATGCGCGATAAGCGCACGATCCGCAATGACGTATTTCTATACACTTGGTTTTGCAACACGTTCGGAAACCGAACGTTGCGATCTGTTCGTTACGTTAAAAACGTCGCTCTTCAAGCTCATGACACAACGAGACATCCTACAAACGTTCCAGAGATGTTTGATATCATATGATTATATATAATTACATATAATTATAATAATTTCCATTGATTACGTATAATTTTATATGATTCTATGTAATCTCTCTTTGCCGCGGGATGTTAATCATTTTATAACGAAAATTACTGCCGATTATCATCATTAACGGGCATTGAACATTTCTAGGTGAATCAAGAATACCTTCCGTTGGCCGAAATGACCAAGTGCTGCGACTTCCACGACCTTTGCTACGACACGTGCAACACCGACAAGGAGAAGTGCGATCTGGAATTCAAAAGGTGCCTGTACAAGTTCTGCGACACGTATCAGACTACCGGCGTGACGATCGTCAATACGTGCAAGGCCGCCGCTAAGGTACTCTTCACGGGAACGACCGCGCTCGGTTGCAAGAGCTTCCTCGACGCCCAGAAGAAGGCTTGCTACTGCCCGGATAAGGGCAGTCACAAGAACAAGAAACCTAAGAAGGCGGCACAGGCCGGCGGCGAATTATAATATTACGTCTAATTTAAGATAATCCAATGTATTTATTAACTTATTTATCAAAATGTGTGGTCGATGGAATTATCCTAAGTATTATTCGGGAGTCTGATCGCAGCAACTTCTAAAAAACGTCTTACTCTCGCCGGAATCTCCTGGACGTTGTCTTTAAGATGTCTTTTCGAAGTTCCTGCTACCTGAGTGGTCGAAATCGCGAATGGCAGAAATCAGCGCGAAAAAATCAGGTCGATGTGTCACCTCTATCTTGTAGAAATTTTGTCACAACGGGCGCAATATAATATTCTTCATAACTAAAGTTTCTTTTTAAAAAACAATCGTTAACCATTTAAAACTCCCAAGCAATTGTGAGAAATAATCCGTCATTCCCGAGAGAAAAATGATTCTATATGAATCTTGTCTCTATATAGCCGTATGTAATCAAATGCGATTATATATGTTCCACATCTAAGAAATGTTGTTATACGAATACAATTGAGGTAAATGTGCTTGTGTTTATGGCTGCTCACGATGTAAACACTTAATTGAATCAAACTATTTTCTCCATTTTTCATTGAACAGTATTTTTATATTCCGTACAGATACATATAATTATATATGTAGTCATGTAGAGACAAAATTTATATATAAATCACATGTGATTATATATAATTATATGTAATTATGTAATTACATGATTATATATAAGCTTTTTTCCCGGACGTCGATTAACACGATAAATGCCGTTTCATTATAATACTACCGGGTATCAATGAAATTGCGCATAAAGTATAATTAATTGCATTTGAAAGACCGGCTGTGCGGAGAGCAATGGAGAAGAGCTGGTGGGACGTGGTGAAAAATACACGCGTCTCGGGAGTGACATTTATTCGCCGTATTTCTCGGGAATCGAATCGTCGGTCAACGTGTGAACGAAGAGCTGCTTTTACGTTAACATACGAATTTCTACGTAAAAGTACAGAAGATAAGGAATATCGAGTGCAACGGGACTGAGATATCGAGAGCGTGTTTGTCTTTTGAAAAAAACAAGGGATAGCGTCTTTTGCGACGCAAACGTCAATGTGACAACTGCCCTCGGACGACGAATCACCGGTTGGAGGAACCGGTGAAGATAGTAAATTGCCAAGTGACGTTAACTCAATCAGGACAATCGGACACGCTCCCGTCGCGGGAAGCGAAATTCGCATTCACGAAGAATGGGAAACGCAAACTCCTCCCGGCCGTCCAAGATCCAGAAAGACCGGAAGACGGAAGGCAACGGCAGGTAAGGCGATCTCTACTTCATGACGGCGAGATCAGGGCGAGCAAGGCCGAGTTGACTTGCGGAAATGATATCGCCAATTTTCCTTTGTCATGTTCGCTACCAGGGTTCACTCGGGGGATTCTCCCTACAGGCTGTGTTTCCCTTTTCCTACGAAATCGATCAAACAGACTTGGTTTGACAATGTGGACACGGAAAAGAAAATCTTGCCGGTAGCGAGCATTCGGTTGTCTTAATTAAATTTCTTTCGATTAAGATTCTCTTAATTAAATCTCTCTTCAAGTTCAGATCCGCGATAGGTACAGGCAGCCCCTTTAGTCTTCTCTTGCTCGCTGGTTTCATTTGTCCTTACGTCGCACTTGGTAAAAAGACAAGAATAAATAGATAATATAAGTGGACTTTCATCTCTTGCTGGGCAGCAAGTTTTATCGTCGGATAAGAGACGCGGAGTCGCGCAAAAACGTACTTTGCAGTTTTTCCTTCCACGTAGCGTAGATACCGGAAAAAGTGGACGAGCCGGAAACGGAAACGGTAAAGCGGCGGCCGGGCCGAGCACGCGAGGGAACCGCGACTTCGGCAAGCATCGTCATGTCGGTGCGACGAACCCGTTCATCATCTTCTTCCTGCGGTTGCGCAGCAAGAAGCCGAAGGAACCGGTGACCGTGGTGGCGCGAGCCGCCGGCAAGCTGTGGAGCCGCATGTCGCCCGAGCAGAGGAAGAAGTACGTAGACCTGGCGAACGCGGAGAAGAAACGACGGCAGGAGCGGAAACGGCGGAGAAGGCATTCGGGCGCGCGCTCGAGGTAGAATCGTTCGCGAGGAGGTGGGGAAATATCCGCGCGATCTGCTCGATTCACCAGTAGTTTCGTTGAGAAGAAGCGAACGGTGGCTTCGAAGAGTGGATCGGTGGCTCGCAAAAACATATTTTCCAAATTCGTACTTGTAAACACGCCGGATATCAAAGATATCTCTTACTTTTTATACGAAATGAAACAGAAAAAAAATTTTTATACAAAATATTGTCTCTTCACACATGAAATGCGGAACAATGATTTGTATACGGGAAGTGTGCCGGATGACTTGTTCGCAAACGAAATTTCAAAACGATGACTCTGAACCACTCTTGCTCTGAAGCAACCCTTCGTTCACACGCGGCACTAATTGCGTTCTCGTGTCCAGGATGAAGTAGCGGGAGCTTGGTGGGAGATCGAGGCTCGGCCAGGGGAAATACGTGGCGAACGATTCGGTCGGTCTCTGTCGCGCGTATCTACTATACGCCGCATTAATCGTCGGCTCTCATCGCCTAGACGCATCTGCAAATGACCACCAGAGAGCTATCGATTATCATGTGTTTTTGATTTCTTTTTTATTTGTTAGTAGTTTTTTTTAGATCTATGTACAATAAATATCAATGTATTTTTACACTATTACTGCTTTAATCATTCGATTATCCTAAACTAGGCGATCCGCCCTTTATTCTCTTTCGCCCTTATCATCTTCTCGTCTGAAAAAATTAAATCCGTAACGCGTACCATAAATATATTATTTTTTTTTGTTGTTCTCTCGCGACCGTTCCGCGAAGCGTCGCCCACGACGGGAGGGAAAATTACGCATTCTCGGGGAATATACATTCGCGAGGGGTAACGCGTGGGGTACAGCGTGCGCGCGCGCGCACGCGGGTGACGTTACCCGTATTTTTCACCCATCTTCGTCGTACGAGAGTTTTTCTTCATCATCATCATCATCATCATCATCTTCTTCTTCATCTTCTCTTTTTTTTTCATTTTTCATTTTCTAAGAGCTGTGCTCTCGCGTCACTTCGATACAAAAAATAATTTCAGCACGAGTCCACGCGACGCTTCGCCGGAAGAGCCGAAAATTGCGCGCTCCGTTCATTCTTTCCGAAAAAACTATAGAGCTACCCTCTCGCGATACTAGATAATAAAAACCATACGCGTACGTACGATAATGAGAGATAACGAATGAACGTTTATCGTGCGAGATATCGCATACGACAATTAAAAATATAATCCGTGTGTGTGTGTGTGTGTGTGTGTGTGTGTGTGTGTATAGCACGCGTCCTCTCTCTCTCTCTCTCTCTCTCTCTATTTCGCATGTAGACGCATGTGTTTGCAATGCAATGTAATGCAATGTAATGCAATGTAATGATAATGTACGTATGTATGCGGGAACGCACGTGTCTAGCACGAGAGCGCTACCCCTCCGTCACTCGCGACGGTGATGATCGATTAATCGACCGATCGATCGGCCCATCAATTCGCACAATAGCAAATAATCGTGTATGAACAATCGACAAAACTGGATGAACGCGGCGATGCCTTTCTCTTCTTCCTTTCGCGGGACAACGGGCAGTTTCAGCGCGACGACGTCGGCGACAATTGATCCGATTGTGTGTGTGGGTGTGTTTCTTCTGTTCGCGCGTTTTGCCTTTTTCTTCGACAATAATACAATGAGGATAATTACCATAGCGATAAGTAGCTACTTTCCTTTTTTTTTCCCTTTTACGTTTTATAATACAGTAAAGTACAGAGTGCCTCGAAGAAAACTTAAACAACAATGTTCAACAATCGATAATATCAAACAGAATATTATTCGTAAATATATATTTATATATATTTATATATATATATAAATACACAAAACGTAACATGTAGTTTCGCGAAGGAATGCCCTACTAAAAAATAGGTATATCCGCATTTGTTTTCTTCTTTCTTCCTTCTTTCTTTTTTTCCCACTTCTTTCATTCGTTCGTAGAGAGGCGGAGAGGGGAACACGATACCTTGGCCGATCGTTGGCTAATCCGTCCGAGGTAACGCTTGTATCCTTATTTTTCTTCTTAATTCTCCCCTTTTCTCTTTAAATGCACAAGTTACGAACCCATGCTTGGAGAGGAGATGCTATCGATCGATTAAATTGTATTATGATTAAATTGTACCATGTGTGCAATCTTCGTCGACAAGTTAAGAATCCGTTTAATACGAGCCCTTCATCGAGCACGAAGAGAAACAAATTTATCCATACCCCCGCACCATCGACGGTGGATGAAGGAGGGTATAATATTTACTTTCCTTCTTCTTCTTCTTCTCTCTCTCTCTCTCTCTCTCTCTCTCTCTCTCTCTCTTTTCCTCTCACCTCGCTTCGTTCTACATCGAATGTGAGCGTGCAATTGAGATACATGCTAAAAAATGTCGCGGGAGGGGGGAAGAGGGGGGGAAGAGTAGAAGAACATACGACTTCTTAATTCGCAATTCCTTATACTCTATTGTTAGCAAGCATCGGGCAAGACGAGTGTTCACGAATGGCGAGGTTTGGAGAATTATGAATTATCGTTCGCACAACGTTAATCGTCCCGTCGCACCGATCTCAACATGAGAGAGAGAGAGAGAGAGAGAGAGAGAGGGAGAAGGGAAAGAAAGAGAAAGACGTGAGAATACACTTAGGAACGACCTCACATGATTCTGCGTGCGTACAATGATGAGATGCCTATTTCGATATCCTTATTGTGATTTATGTGTGGATGTCTTCGATGCCGAGAGAGAGAGAGAGAGAGAGCGTCTTCTCCCCGCGTTTTGTCGCGCAGTCTGACCGAGTGCTCGAAGAAGCGTCTACAACAGCGGCAACGTTCCCTCACGGTGCTTCTCGGGAGTAGGAGGAGACACCTTGAAGATCCGGACGAGAGCGGGATTAAATCGACGCGTGAAATCGAGAAATCGTGGATGCCACCTTACAGAATCCATTCGGAGACCCCGTGAGACCGGCGAGATGGCGCGTTCGACCCCGACTACGCGACGATTCTTACCGATCGTCGTGAGAAATTCTCCAAATATCGCCGGGAATCGCGAACGATACGCCGCCGAGCGCGATTCGGGTCGCTCGCTTCGGGTCTACCAGCGACGTCGCGGTCAACGGAGAGAGAGCACCTTCGTGTCTCGGAGGACTGCTGCGGTAGCAGAAGAACGAC